GCACAGAATCCATTCGACATTATTTTGTGGGACCTGCATGATTATTACTTAAAGTAGTAATTGTTACTTAAAGTAGTAAGTCAAAAACCTTATTTTTTTAGTCAAACATACTATTTTTGTATTTTTCCAACAACCTCTTTATATTACTATAGATATATATATATATATATATATATAGATGAAAATATATTTTACAAGAATTTAATTATAGAAATAAATCAAAATAAAAAAAATGAAAAAAATATAATCATGGGTGCCAATAATATACAAATAAATTCTAAGCAATAGTTAATATGTTTCAATTTTAATTTTTTACCATTAGTAAAACTATTTATTGTATTGGTCATTATTTCTTAAATGATAAATTATATTAATTTGAAGAATGATTTATTTTTTATATTTAATAAAATAAAGCTTAAGAAACAAATATATTGGCAAAGATTAATTCACCAACTTGATTTTGTCTGATTACATGGAAAAAAAATTCTACCTAACCTGTTACGGTTGTTCATAAATATTTTTGGATAAAAAGTGAATATTTGTGAAAAAAATAAACTAATATTATGGTTAGAACTTAATATGGTGTAATATTATCTTGACCAAAATATTATCAACATGGATTACAGAAATCAATCTTGTAATTTATTATAATGAATATCAATGAAAGTATTACAAATATTAACTAAAATAATATTTATCTTGACCAAAGTATTATCAACATGAATCACGAAAATCAATCTTGTAATTAGTTATAATAAATATCAATGAAAATACTGCAGATATTAATAAATTTATTTAATTAATTATTTGATCATATGTTATTTGATCTTATTTGAAAACGTGTAAATAGAAACAATTAATGCATATATTTAAAAAATTTCTAAAAATAGTATGCATTAAATGTTTCCTAAATTTTTGCTACTATTTTTAGTAAATGATAATATATATATATATATATATATATATATAGAGAGAGAGAGAGAGAGAGAGAGAGAGAGAGAGAGAGAGAGAGATGTCCATTCCATTATTATAATTCTTTAGAAGATTTATATAAATCCAAAAAAATAGATTTACTAATGATTTATCCATCACTTTAAAGATCCCTAATTTATAGGGATTCATGTATGAAATGCACTTCTTTCCTAAATAATTTGAATAAGATTCAAATTAATTCCTAAATAATATTTTTTAAAAAAAAATCTTAAAATAGTATGTAATAAATGTTTTCCTAAATTTTTGGATTACTATTTTTAGTAAATAGTAATTCTTTTTATATATATAAACATGTAACTTCCATTTATCAACTACTAGTACAGAGCCCGTGCGATGCACGGGGTGCACAATTTTAAGGTCATTTATCCAACTTTATAATTATATAAATGAATAAAATAAATATACAGAATATATATAGTACGTGACATGTGCGAGGCGGGATATATTTATTTAGGGATTATTATACTATAAGATGCAATATCAATAAAAGTTTTACAATACAAGAAAATAAATATAAATAATGTAAATATCTAAATACATACACGATATGTGGAATAAATAAACCAAATTGCAAATATGAAAATATAATTTAAAAAAAATTGATAATATATTTCACTAAACATGTACAAAATATCTAAATACATACACGAAAAAAAATTATATACGTTTCAAATTTCAAAATTAAAACAAAAATTCAAAATTTGGCTTACAGTTTTATCATGCAGAACCAACTCGATATATGATTTGTATGTGTTGCCCCAGTCTTGGAAAAACATTCTCACAATTCGAACTTTAAGCATAGGTCTATTAGACCTATTGACTTGTTTGATTAACCCAAATCCTCGATTCATTGTTTGAATAAAAGACTGATTGGGGATATATTTTTTGTTCGCAGGAGGTTGATAGTGAGGAAGATGATGACTCGATATTTTGAGATTTGTAATTTATAATGGGTAGAGTAGATATATATTGTTGTTAATATTTTTATTAGAAAATCTAAATTTGAATATACAAAAATAGGTTTGAACAAAATCAGAACTGATTTCTATACAATTAGATAATAAATAAAGCCTTTTTTATTTTAGTAAAGATTTTACGTATTTTTTTTTTTTACTTATCAAATGTTATGGGTTTTTTTTTTTGTTAAACCGATTTTATGGGTTATAATACAAATACAATTAGAGAATTGAACAAAATCAAAATAGATTTCTATACAATTAGATAATAAGAATGAATTAGATAAGGAAAACAAAGAAATAAATAAGGAATTTTGAATTTACTTTTTTTTAGTATAGATAGACTTTACGTACAAATTTTGTCTTCACCGATTTTATGAGATTTGTTTTGACAAAATCGATGTTAATATGGAATAAGACAAATAAATAAAGCCTTTTTTATTTTGGTAAAGATCTTACGTTTTTTTTTTACTTATCATATGTTATGAGATATTTTTTCTTAAACTGATCTTATGGGATATAAGACAAATAAATAAAATAATTAAGTAAAATTCAGGATACAAATAATAATGCATTAATTACGTTGACTTTTTAACCTACTAAATTTGGTAAATATGATACCTTATTATATAAGTATAGAGTTTGATTGTTTTTGCTCACCCGATTTTATGGGATTTTTTATGTCAATATAAGAAAGATTAAAATTTAGAAGTTCAACATAAATTTATAAGAAGGATTTTTTTATGGGATTTACGTACAAAATTTTTTATATTAAGATTTATAAGAAGGATTTTTTATGTCAGCATGAATTATAAATGCATTAATTACTACTTGATAAAATTAGAAGTTCATTAATTAAGTTTGACTTTTCTACCTACTATATTTAGTAAATAAGATCCCCTTTAATATAAGTATAGATAATTATAAATTATTCCTTGCATAATACTATGAGACGCGTTATTTATCTTAGTTGTAAATCTGTTTTTATTTGTGAAAGAGAGAGCGTGATTTATTTCCTTAATAATATGGAATTTTAGAAACAAAGAAATTTGAGATAAAATAAAAATTCACGCTCAACTTAAAAAAAGATAAGAACCGATTTGTGATCAAATATTTCCATACAAGTTTTATTTCTTGATCTTATCATATTTTTTTTTACAAAACTGCTTGAATGAGATAAAATTGAAAACAAAATACACGTAATTAATGCACTTGATAAGATTAGAAAGTCATTAATTATTGGTGACTGTTCTACATATTGAAATTAGTAAATATGTTTGCTTATAATATAAGTATAGATAACTATATATCTAATGACTAAAAACCTTTACGGAATCATTCCGTGATGAGATTGTAGTATTTTCTTATTTATGATTTTTAGGAAAAAAAAAAACGTGCGTCGAAAACGACGTCGCAGTGAGTAGCCGTACTCGTACTGGTTGAGCATTTGGGGAACACAGACTACCCATCAAGTTTCTTCGGCTCGCTTCTCAATTGCATCACTCTAGAAAAAAGAAAAAAAAAAGAAGAATTGAAATGGCAGGAAAACTGTCGAGCGTAGCACCTCAAATCATGGGCGGCAACGCCCTCGTTTCTCGGTCCGTCGCCGCCTCTCTGCGTCAGCGATCCGGCTTGGGCCTCCCCGTCGGAAGACATATCGTACCCGACAAACCAGTATGTACTTCGACCTTTTCCTTTTCCTTTTCTAACCCTTTTGTCTTCCCTAATAATTATTGATGTGCTGTGTACAGTTCCGGTGAATGATGAACTTGCGTGGGATAACGGGGATCCATTTCCTGAACCTTGTATTGATCGGATTGCTGATACTGTCGGAAAGGTTGATTTAAACTCTATAATTGCTTTTCAGTTCTATTTCATCGAATTGTTTCAGCTCATGTTTTGAGCACAATGTGGGGTTAGTTTAACGGTAATTGAAATGTATTTTTCTTTGGGTGATAATAGTATGAAGCATTAGCATGGCTGTGTGGAGGATTGGGATTTTTCGCGTCTCTTGGGCCATTGGCTGTGTGGAATGACGAGGCTTCTAAAATACCATTTGTAAGTCTAACTGGATTCTGCTTTTCTATCATTGTCTCAGTGTGGTTTGATCCTTTTAATGTGGTTAGGTTTGTCATTTTCGATTTAGGTTTGTGGTTTGTTTGAAGTTGTCGAGTTAGCACGAATCCTTTCTCCTTGACTTATGTTTCCCGACATGAGTGACATGTGCTGCTTCAAAGAAGTATGGGAATCATTGTTGAGGAAGAGTTTCATATGCATTGTTCACAGTTGCAGTGAATGAAATAGGACTATTATTCTCTGCTGATTTACTCTACCATAAGTTATTTGTTTTTGATTGACTAATTCTATGTTCTTGTTGTACAAGTTATATTGAGTGTTATCTGTGTCTCAATACCTTTATAGTTGTTGAAGATGATAGCTAATTGGTCAATATCATCTTGTTTCGGTTTTATCGATACCTGTGACAACCAAAGATCTCCACTGCTTCAGCAGACCAGAGGTCTGCCTTATGTCAAACATATATTATTTATGAATGTCTTAATGAAAAGTATGATATTATGTATAACATATACTTAACTGGATCTAAATTTCTAGCCGTGTGGACACGTTCGTGTCCAAATATTGGATCCTCCTAGTAATTTGGATGTATCCCAAAATTTTGGAAAAGAAGGTCAGATACCATAAACTTTCTCAGAGTTTATAGTTGACTATCCCAAGCCAGTGTAAACGAGGAGGGTTGTGTTAAGTTGGCGGCCAATATATGACCCTAAGAACGAAGCGAAGCGAAGTGAAGTCATAGAAGAAAGAAGGGAACGAACCGGTTTACAAGTAGGTAGCTACGATGGGGACTTTCCTCCATAGTCATAAGGGAATATAGTAGCAGTGCTTTATTCCTTTGTAGGCTCAATTACACCAAACCGTCAACTGAACTTCGCTTTGCTTCTAAAGTACCTTTCTCTTTTGGTTTTCGATTGCGCGCTGCTTTATTTTTTTCTTTCTTCCACATACATAGGCTAGCTTCCTTCCTTGCATGCCTTGTGGCGAAGTAGACTGAAAACCTTGTAATATAATAATGCGCTTTCGTTCCATCCGACTTCAAGAACTTTTTAGGGGGCCACCCAAGACCTATCTTATTATGCTTTGCTGCTGATCCGCCCTTTTGGGCTCAGATCTGTTGTACGTGTACGAATAATAAGTGCTTTTGCACCCAAAATAGGACTAAGTGAGTCAATTAAGATAAAATTTTGGGAGGACTTGAAGTCTTTGATCCAAGCAACCCCTCAAAATGAGAAATATTTCTTGGAGCGGATTTAAATGGGCGAGGAGAGAAACAATGACTACGAGAGGGTTCATGGGGGTTTTGGTTTTGGAGTATCAAATTATGAAGGTTTTTACCTTCATTATATGACACTTATTTGAAAAAGAGAGAGGAACACTTAATTACATACAAGAGTGGCGCTAATAAATCATAAATGAACTATTTTCTAGCTAGGAAAAGTGAGGTAGTGTCGGGAGAGGGTCTTACAATCCAACATAGGTTACTAGTCATGGATATAAGAACTAAATGTAGTCAAGGTGAGAAGAAAGTACCTAAGATACCTAGGATAAAGTTGTGGAACCTTAACAACAAAGATAAAAGGGAAAGATTTACTAAGACTTTACTTGAAAACATCAATTGGAGTATGGAAAAAGAAGCAAATAAAACACGGGAGAAGGTAACTAAAGGGGTAAAATTAATTGCTAATAGAGAATAGGGGTTTGTAGAGGGTAGAAAGTATACTAAAGAATCATAGTGGTGGAATCAAGATATGCAAGAAAAAGTTAAGGAGAAAAAGATGTGTTACAAATCGTAATAAAAGTGTAGGAGTGATGAAAATATAGAAAAATATAAAAATGCAAAA